CCAAATTCAACCAGAAACCAGAAGGCAAGAAAACACATTAATGTAGTCCACACAAGTCGGCTTAGCGGGGTGGGGAAAGATGTAGAGTCATCAAGGAGAAAATAGAAGATAACTGCATAATTCACCCCTTTATTCTTCAACATGTGCACTCTTCATTTGGGAGAAAAGTGTCCCAAGCAAAGGAGACACATGAAGTTCTCCAACTTTGGTATCATTGTGAAGTAATATCAATTCAGAAATAATTTTCCTGAAACTTAAAATGTTAGGCACCACCAGTATTTTTCACAAAAAGAAAGTGAGATTATGTGAAGTCCCATTTCACATGGTATGAGACAAGAAGAGAGAAACACAGGTAAAATAAATAACACTTGAGTTTCTGCTCAATAGCTAGTCATGAGAGTTGGTAATCATAGCTTCCTTTTTCCAGTACTCTTTGAATATTCTTTACCTTCTGCCAATACTTTGGCTGGATGGAATTCTTTACCTGGTAGTGGACTTCAAATTTCAATTCTGGGGAATCTGAGTTTTTGATGTTCTGCATTTTGGGGATTGGTACAATTTTCCATTGACTAGTACTACTGGAAAGAGAGTGCTTAAAAATGCCCTGCCGGATTTCCTGGATTCCAAATATAGTGCTACCCTTTGTGTAGTTGTTGCCTCTGTTCTGTAGCAGGAATTTCCATTTCCCCTTGTCATCAGATTGAATCAGTCTGGCCAATACAGTAGTCCTTTATGTACCTGTTCAGCTGCATGAAAAGTCCCCACATGGCCAAAACATAGGCTTAGCTTCCATTTAATCAGTTACCAACGTCAAGATTCCTGGTAGAAACATACCTCCTTGAGCACTAGGACTTAAAAATGACAAAGCTATGGTTTTGTTGATTGGAAGTAAAAATTTTTCAAGTGAGTAAGTATAATAATGAGAGTGACCCCTTTTACTTCTTGATTGCCAGACTTGTGCAATCCGTCGGGAGAGACTGTATCATATATTGGCTGCTGATTTAACACAAATAGTGCATCCTGTAGGACCATACCTCATCTTCACAATACTGTTTTCAAACAGGTGTCGTAAGTGAACCTTCAACAGGCTATTTCACTTTCTTATCAAGCCAACTGCTTCTGAATGATGGGGTACATAGATCAGTGAAATCCATGAGCATGATGCCATTGCCACACTTCTTTTGTCCTAAACTATTTTCTTTGTTTGGAGGCAGTGTTGTGATGGAGAAGGCATTCTATAAATCTAATGGTGGTGCTGCAGAACATGAGGCAGAGAAAGAAAATCTGAATTAGAGCATAGATCTATCATTTTGAGGAAAAAACAGTGTTTACTCCATAGTGATAGGGATCCATATAATCAATCTACCGTCTGATAGCCAGCTGGCTTCTCTGGGGATTGGTGCCATATTGAAAGGTCAGCATTGGCTTATGCTTTTGGGAGGCTGGGTACTCAACAGTGGCAGTAGCCAGATCAGTGTTTGTGAGTGAAAGACCATGTTGTTGGGCTCTTACATAGTCTCCAGCCTTGTTGCCATAGCCACTTTGTACATAGGTCTATTGAGTAAGCACTGGATTAGCCACAGAAAGAAGTTGGCTGGCATTCACAGGAAGGGTCATCTTATCCATTTGTATAATGAGAGCCTTCTTTATAGTGGGACATTAATATTTTTACATTCTCTGCTCATTCAAGAGGTCCATTCACATACTTCTTCCCCAGACATCTTTGTCATCATTTTACCATTTTCTTTTTCAATGTATGATCATCTAGTGAACTCATTTGTCACTTCCCATAAGTCAATTCTAGATCCATACCTATGTCCATTTTTCCTTCTGCATGGGGTAGACAAAGGCACAATTTTGAATAGGGTTATAGTTCTGGGATCATCCATTTTCTGGCTGATAACAGCATCTGATGCAAATCCACTTTTAAACTAGGTTCTTATTCCTCTCTCTTAATTTGTAATAGGAAGCTCCCCAAGAAGCCAAAAGAATGGACTGAGAAAGAAAGGTTAAGTGAAGTACCATGAGATTCTAAGCTGTCAGCTTATGCAGTTTAGTTCTCCCTCCTGGACCTGTTCAAACCTATGCACTTTCATTTTATGATGAAGTGCTGCTCTGTTCACCTAATGTTGTTTCAGTACATCAGTTAATAAGTGACCCATGATGGGAAGTTCAGGTGGCATAATCACTTGGTGTCCTGTGGTCAGATATTTTTCTGTACTTCATTTTTCTGATACGTCCTTGATCTTTTGCAGGACTTATCTCCCTTCTTCTACCAAACATATGCCTTGCTCAGGCACTACCTCTGTTATTTCTCATCATATCCAATTAGCATAACATCACTAATGCAATGAACCAGCATGATATTCTGTGAGATAATAAGATCAAGTACTCTCCAGACTCATTATAACAGAGCAGAACTGGTTATATCCTTGGGACTAGACATATAAGGTATTCTATTGCTCATTCATGTAAATGCAAATGGCAACAGCTAGAGATTGCCAGTCGACTAGGCTGTTTTGAAGGGAGTACTTAACAGTGTGCTTCTCTGGCCACTACTGAGGTGTGTCACAGGTAGGGTCTGTGATCCCTTTGGACCTTCTTAAGATGGACTCAGGCTAATGTTCCATCTCTCACATGGCCTCCATAAGCCCCAGTCTGAGTGGAGGCTCACAGTGGAGTTTCAGAATTACAGGGTACATTCAGAGCCATTAACTAATAACCTCCAGAATATCTAGACGTTCCCCATTCCTCAATAAATGGTCTCCCTGGCAAATAGCTCTTCTAAAATGGCTTGGGAGAAAATTTCACAGTATATATCTGTGGACATATTAGGGGGCCCTTCCTTAAAGGGATCTAGGAGACCTTGGAGAGATCTAGGTCTCCTAGGAGACTCCTTGGAGACCAGGTCTAGGAAATGGCTCAAGTCTGGGACCTAGAAAACAGGCCATGAATCCCAATTATGGTGATTTTTCAATTATTTCTGCCCAGAAGAATTAGAGTCTTTTAATTTTTAGGGATCTTGTGACCAGTCAGTCACCATTGCAAATCTCTTTGGATCAAGGCACTTTGATTAGCACTTTGCCCTATGGTTTATTGTAGTTAGTGATTGTTTCCACTTTGTCTCTGAGGGCTAAATACTGTCACCTGGACTTTATCACTCCAGAGTTCCATTATTCTCAGATCAGGGAAACAAATTCCATTGCACTACCATCTGTCATTTCTGGTTTAATGAAGAAAAACCATCACACAACTTTGGTGGATGCTAGTGTCCCCCTTACCAATGCATTTCTTAATATCTTCCTAGGCAAGATGAGAAGATTGCACATAATAGATCCATTCCAGTATTTCCATTTCCCTGGTCCTTTGGACTCTGTTCTACAGGGAAACTCTGGCATTTAAATATCATTTAAAAAGGCCACTGTGGAGTCCAAGAATTTATTCAACCAACTATTAATGCCATTTGCAAGTTACCATTAAATTTTGAATCCCAGGGAGTTGCACTGATCTAAAGTATATCAGCCTACACATGATTTCATTTTCTCCCCTGTTGGTCTAAACACCTTTTATTTCACTGCCTCAGTGATGTTGACATCTTAACTTTCATTTTAGGCCTAGAGGTAATGAAAGGTGATAAAGGTGAGTTCTGAGGAAAATTTCCCTTAATTTGTGAGTCATTGGAAGGTTTTTAAGCAGAAGGATGATTTTTCCTTGAAAAGGATACTATTAAAAAGGGGTTGCCTCTGTCAATAGGATGTTTAAAATTCTCAGCCTCTCTCTCTGGCAAAATATCTACATCTCCTATCTCATGATCTCACTCCTTCCCCATTCTTAGTGTAAGAAACCTAGAACGCTTAAATTTTTATTTGGCGCTATACCTTTGCAGACCTTACATCAAGCTCTTGGCTTTGTCCTCTGTCAAATGTGCTCTATGACTACAGGGGATGAACGACTCCTTCAAAACTGCTAGCAAGGACTTCTGGTTGCCCATGCATGTTTTTAATTGTATATTCATAAGTTAAGTTTAACACCTCTTTTCTCTGAGACTATCAGAAGAATCTAGGTGATAATCATAATTTTTATAACTGTTGTTATTGTAGCAATTAAATGTCATGGCCATTTGATCTCTCACACATGTCCTCAATCTGCATTTCATCCTGTGCTACCATTGATGATAATTTGAGTAATCAGGTTGCTAGTACATCCCATAGATCATGATATTCCTAATGAACCCAGTCCCAGATCTGATTTTGATGGTCTATTTCTTGGGGCTATTTCTGGCATGATTACTGTGTTTGAGACAGAAAAGAGATGGCATTCTTAGAATAAGTCAAGGAGAACAATTTACCAAACTATGGTCATGGTATAGGGAAGCTGCAAGGGATAATGTAGTACCCAGGAGCTAGTAATGGTCGAAATGTTACTATCCCTAGGGCTGAAGGGAGGAGTGGAAGGAAAAGTTAGCAGAACCCAGAAGGAAAAAATCTTGAGAGAAACTGGGTTCTTTGGTTGGGAGGCATAGCCATCCAGAAGCTACTTCACATGGATAGTCAGGGGATATCTTCTGTCCCTCAGACATCCTACCAGAACTCCCCAGTGGTGGGACCTACTGGAAATCCAGAGGGCAGGGGAGACCTTTGATATATGTTATACAGGTGAGCCTCTTGACAGCACATTGTAAGATGCTGGAGAATGATTAGGGAGGCACACCAATTATATGAAGAGTTTCAGTAATGTGTTTGGCATCTTGTTTAAGGCATAACCTGAAGAAGGAAAGTGGTGTGATTTGATGAGATTTTCTCAGACTAGAACTAAGGATCCAATCAGCTTATGAAAGGAGAAAGCAAGAACTTTCAGAAGCCCATTTCCTATTCCACATACCTCTCCAGGGGAAGAGTGAGTTTTGTAAGCATCTTAACTATCTTATGAGTTCACATGAGTAATTCAGAAATGTTTTACTCTGTGCTATTCCCAGGATAATAAATGACTGGGCTTGTTTTTATTCATCAACTTTATTAAATAATTTTATTAACTGATCTACATAGATATCATATTTAACATTCAATATAAAAAAATAAATATTTTGGGATAAATAATTTGAGTTTTTAGAGCCCCTAGGGCTTACAAAAAGAATCTTAAAAGATCCATATTTATCATATGAAGTATAAGAATAATAATTACAAAAGGTAGCAAACCATATGTCAAAAAAATAAATATGAATTTTAAATATTTCAATAAATAGCCTGGTACATTTTAAATAGGAGACACTTAATTATCAAGTCAGTGTTGAGAAGATGCTTTGACAAAAAGTAATCCATTTGTTCAGAAATTCTGTAATGGTTGCTGTCTCGTCATCATATTCACATTTGAAACTTGTTTCAGATCCCTATAAAAGAAAATTTTAATTTTTTTAGTTCAAGGTAGCTTCCCATAAATATTCTCAGTTGAATAACTTATGACTGATGCCCTTTACTTTCAAGTATGTTTAATATATTAATCATTCATATTTTCCTGAAATGATCAGAATGGCATGCCAAAAAGTTATATGCTGATACCAAGTGATAGTAGCATACATATAAACTAAGATTTTCCTCATTTGTCAATTCTGTCCATCTCAGTGAACACAAGAATTCTTTTTCCTGAATTGTATACAGGTAAGCATTTTAAATAAAAACAGTTCTGAACAAATATTTCATTAAATGCTGCATGCACAATAAAGTTGTTAAACCTCTCTTCCTCTGGGCATATATTTATAGGTTATACGTATACAGTCATATACACATTATACTTCTTTTTCAAACCTTAAGTCTCCTATTATCTTAACTTTAGTGAATCTCCCCATAGTTCCCCAAAAAGCAAAATGGAACTAACCCAGAGTAAGTTAGGATAAGCTTTTGTTTGGAAGAAATTTGTGTGAAGAACATTTTCATAAATACTCATACCCACTCCTGCTCCACCTTAGTATTCATGCAGGTGAGTTTCCCAACTTTTAAAAGTCTAAACATTAGAAATTTTGTTCTGTGGACTGACTTTTTAGAAATTAACCTCCTCTGCTGATAGGAGCTATTTCAACTCTACCTCTAGCTGACAAAATATTTTGAAATATAACAAGATAAAAGAGAAGACTTTTTCAATTTGAGGTAATTCCTATTATGGAAATATAAACCTAGTAAGATAAGTATTCCCTTTAAATAAACTGTTGCAGTGTTATATGCCCTCTTACATATAATTATTTAAATATAATAACCTCTTGGGAAGGTTTAAATTTTTTAGATTAGCTTTTTAAATTTTTTAAATTTTTAAATTTTAATTTTTAAATTAAATTTTTAAAAATAGCTGACATTTACCAACTTTCACATAATTTTATCTTAATTTTGCATCAAGAATTTAGAATGAGTTTTTTGATGGTCAAAAATTTTGGAACAAACCTTTTGACACAGTTATTGTCTATCAATGTCTAGATGACATTGATTTCAATGTATTTTTTTTTAATTAGATGGAGAGAAACAGTCTACGAATACAATGACTTATTTGGAAACAACTGGAATTACATAATTTTAGAAACTTAGTTCTACTGTAATTAAAATTATGCTATTAAGGATGCCTGTTAACTCATGAAGTTTGTACTTTGGCAGATGAGATGAGAAAAGAGAGCCATGAATCTCTTCACATCACCTGAGTCCCTTGTATATTTAGTATTTCCTGTGCATTTAAAAATACTTAAGTTCTTGAAAGTATTACCTCTAAATAAGGAGTTAATTATCTAGCCCATTGGCCATCTTAGTAGTTTCAGTTTTTTAGATAAATCTCTTAGTCCTTCCACCAAATAATAGGGAAACCCCATTCTAAAAACCTTTCGGGTAATTAGTATGGGTTATTCTGGAAAATGATCTGAAAGAATTAGAACATATGTAACAAAACCTGTCTGCTTTCCATGAAATTCAGTTGTTTTTTCCCACTCCCAGTTTTGTATTAATGTGAGAGAGAGGTGACAGAGTGCTGGGTTATGGGCTTATCTCTGGGTGGATGGTAGCCAGAAACCCTCTAAATTATACTTCCCAGCTCCATAGTGTATCATCTAACATAAAAATGATTCATGTTCACAGTGGTCTTAAAATGCATGAGAAGTTCACAAATTATAAAAATGTTATGCCACTTTAAAATGACCTTCCATTTATTTTATCTTCAGGAGGGCAAATAAAGTAATACCTTACCTTTAGTTTCAGAAGTGTTACATTGATATTGCTCATTAATTCCTTGATGTCTGTCAAGTGAAAGTTTTTGCTTTGAGCTAAATATAGCACTTCCTCCAGAAGTTTGAGTTCTTCTGCTAGACATTGAAGATGTGTCAATTCTGTGGCCTTGAATAATAATAAATATAATTATCAGGTCAGTTTGCCCTAAAGGTCAGATTCAGAAATTAATCTCTATTTTATTAAGAGTAGATTTTTACTATTCTCCCTGTTCTCAGCATTACCGTAAAGATGGACCGATATAGCTTATAAGGCTGGAAAAACTAGAGTTCATCTACCCATGTTTAGCATTAAATGTTACATAATGAGGGGCACCTGGGTTAAGTGGCTGCCTTCAGCTCAGGTCATGATCCCAGGGGCCTGGGATTGAACCCCATGTCAGGCTCCCTGCTTAGCAGGGAGCCTACTTCTCCCTCTCTCCCTCTGCCCCTCTCCCTCCCCCTGCTCGTGCTTGTGCTCACTCCCTCTCTCTAAAATAAATAAGTAAATAAATGAACAAATGTTAAATAATGAATCAATAATTTCAGCTTAATTTGGCTTTACCAAAAGTCAACATTTCTGTACCCAAATGCAAATCACAAAAATAGGATTCTTTTCCAGTCTGTGTAGAAATTATTAGAATCAGAGCAGTCACAACATGGAAGTATAGGATCACATTCTAGAATTCTAACATTTAATAATCTAAGAGTTGAGAATCATAGAATGTTAAGGACAGAGTAGCTCTTGGATACTGTCACAATCCCAGCATTTTATAGATGAGGCAATTTTAACTATATTAATGACTCTCAGTATAGCAAGTCATATAACTGTCCTGATTTTTTACTTTTCTATAGTAAGTATATTAAAAAATTATGTGTTCCAACCAAATAAAAGATCAGAATATTTGAAGGACTTTTGGGTGGCCCTCCTGACTTATACACCCACCCACCCATGTGGTCTGTTATAATGATAATATTTCATACTTTTCTGGTACATTATAATTTTAAAGTGTCTTCTCCCAAACAAGCGCATTTAAGTCTCACAGCCACCCCTTGAGATAGCAATGCAGTGCTGTTATCTCCGTTTTACAAATAAAGAAACTAAATCTCAGAATTTAAGTGTTTTCTCAAGGTCACCTGATTAGGTGGAGCCAAGATTAAATTTTAGTTCTTTTTCTTTATAGCTCTAATGTAGCATCCTTTGAATTAAATGTTTTTTATAAATTTCTAAAATTTTTTTGCAAACGTAGAATGAATGGAGATTATCACATTACTTTGGGTTTCAAATAGATAAGTCATCATTTAGAAACTGTTAGATTTCAAAGAATTTCACCACCCTCTAAATTATGCACATAATCTCATGTTCTCTTCCTAAAAGTCTTTAAAGGGAGAGATACATTTTATGACATTTCCATCCACTGCCCTTTCAACTTGTTACTACAAGTTCAGGGCTTAAGTTTTTGGCACAGCAACTTGGAGCTATTTCCCTCAGAAAACAGTCTAGTATCTTTATGGTGCTGGAGTTAAAAGAGTTTGTGGCTCTGGTTAAGTTGAAGAAGCATCTCTAAGTTATTTTCATCTTTCAAAGGAGTAGTTTGAAGCATAATTTCTTTCAATTAAGAGATCAATGACAGGGGCACCTGGGTGGCTCAGTCGTTAATCGTCTGCCTTCGGCTCAGGTCATGATCCCAGGGTGCTGGGATCAAGCCCCGCATCAGGCTCCCTGCTCAGCAGGAAGCCTGCTTCTCCCTCTCCCACTCTCCCTGCTTGTGTTCCCTCTCTGGCTATCTCTCTCTCTCTGTCAAATAAATAAATAAAATCTTTAAAAAAAAGATATCAATGACATTGCATCCATGACCTTTAAATACCATTTTTTTTTCTGGGCTTGGATTCATCCTGGGACAAACTCTTTCCAGCACTAAGTCATGTTCATTCTCTGTTGACTGGCACAACTACTAGGAAACTTTATATTCCTAGTATAGCCATAGGAGCTTGGATGATCTATGTTTATCTATCTGAATCCCCAAAAGACCAAATCTTGGAAAACAAGTCATATAGCATCATAAGCCTCTAGGTCTATTGGCATAAAAGATGTGTAAGTCCAAAATTTTACTTTACACTCCCAGGGAGAATTTTGCTTTTACTAATAGCTAATGTTTATATGGTTATTTACCCTGTGACCAACATTGTTCTGAGTACTTTACCCATTAATCCTCATAAAACTATATGAAGTATATATATAATTATCATTCACATAAGTAGATAATAAACTGAGTCAGAGTAGGTAACTTGCCCAAGGTCCAAAAGCTAAGACATAACGGAGCTGGGAATTCAGATAATCTGGCCCTAGAGACTATGCTATTGGCCACTACTATGTTGCCTCTCAAAGGTAGACCCTTAGGAGTTTTTCCTAAAACCATAAAGGATTTTTAAAAATAGGAAATCAACTTTGATAATTTTCATGGTAAAATGATATAATCAAATCTCAAGTTTTACATTTTTTAAAAAAAGTCAATATAATCTTTTAAAACTGTCCCATCAATAAACTGGGGATATTATTCTTGTCTCTTCCCACTTCCTCTCCCAAAACATACAAATACATACAGAAAAATATATAGGCAAAGCTATTTTACAGAAGCTTCATTGGTTATTTTTTTAAATATTGAAGTTACTGATTCTTTTCCTCAGGTGAAGTGCTATTAATCTAATCAGCTACAAATTTTCATATTACTTTGAATTTTATTAAGACATAAATTGAACATAGAAAGTTGTACTTACCTTCTTGGGCGTGTAGAATTTAAATGTGAGCATCCTGGAGAGTTTAGGGTTCTCATAATTCTGAGAAAGCATAATATATTTTCATTAAAAAATGAACTCCAGTTCAAAAAATTTTATATAATAATTTTAGTAAGAAAGGGAATATACTCACATTAACTCCATTCAAGAGCAACCGTAAATCCAGCAGCAATTGCTCCAACTGTTGCTGTGTTTCCTTTGTAGAGCTTGAAGTAGTAGGTGCACTGTTTGCGACGAGTACAAGAGTCAGTGCGATGCAAGACAAGAGTTGCATTTTGTACATTGTGGCAGGAGTTGAGGTTACTGTGAGTAGTGATTACAGAGGCTGATAGGAAGCACTTGAACAAGAGAAGCAATTTATACTCTTAATTCTGGAAAAATATTTATGGGGGTGTCAAAATGTTTTACATATTACACATATTTTCAAAGATTCTACCTGTGTGGCAAAAAGCATTACCTTTATTTTTCCTCTTCTGATGACTCTTTGGAATTTCTTTAAACCCCCATAAACTGACTGAATGGATGTAGGTAAAATCCCTGTTGGTTACATGAGCCCACACTTAGGTGGCAGTTGTAATTCATACAACTAACGCCTTCTGTATGAAACAATTTTTCCTCCCTCTTTCTTTAAGGGGGTGGGGATACAAAAGTGGCTCATGAAAATTTTCTCTTTGTCATAAAACTGTGATGAACATGTGGAGCACTATGGTGTGGTGGACAAGAGTAAATAGTTGAAAAGAATAAATTTTTAGATTTGTTGATTAAACAGGAAGAATATTGGTTTCCTGTTTAGAATGGTTTTACCTTTTGATCTACACAATGACTGAGCTAATGCATACATGATAGATTACTTCTTACACAATTCAGCTACAAAAATTAAGACTAGAATACAAAAATGCTCATTGAGCTTGAGGTATTGTTTTATGCTTTTTTAATTTTATTGTTTCTTGTATCTGTTTTAATCTCTTAATAGCTGTTGTACATTTTTTTTAATGGATATGATGTTTAACAAATAAATACCCAGAAAAGGGTTTGCATGCAAGGGTACTAATGCTAGTTTTGGGGAGGAGGGTTTGAACAAATATATTTTTGCTGCTTTATTATTTTTGCTGGGCATCAAGGGGATGTAAGGTGAGTTGGAATGTCCCAAGAACCAAGGGTGGTTTTTCTTCCTCTTGGTCTCAGGGACCAGCTAAGCTATTAAATCTTTTCTCCCACTTAATGTCCATTTCATCTCTCTCTCTCTATTGAACAGATTGCTTATATTTCTTTAAATATAAGGTAGAAAATGAGAATAATAGGAATCACAAAGTTTGTAGGAAGCTTATTAACTGAAATTTCTGGACACTATTTGTACATTCTTTAGGAGAAAGAGGTATACCAATACTGGCCTAAGTAGTGTGGCTGGGACTGAGAAAGGCATGGTAGTAAGGTAGGAGGCTGAGGTGGGTCATGGGGTGGGGGTTTTTGTGTGTGCATGTGCCTTGTGGTAAGAGCAGTCCTCAGAGCAGGGATATTTGGGTTCATTTATTCCAAGGTGATTCTTACTATACAAAGGCCAGAATTGAATCGACAGAAGAAGGGATATCCATTATAATGTTAGAGCACCTTCTATGAAAAAAATGAATAAAGTACTACAAATAACTCATGACAAACAAATATTCAGGAAAGGCTTTGCATCGAAGGGTACTGATGCTAGTTTTATAATAGACTTTACATGTGCTGTATGTAAACCAGTTCATATGTTTCTACTTGTTATGTTTTCACCTCTTTAATAGACTTAGGTTTATCAACTACAGCATCTGGGACACTATGAGTGTAAAATAATAATGCTGAAATAAGATCAGATCAATATTCTTAAAGTTGGTCAAGACTGGGTAGGATACTTAGCACATGTGTTAATGTGTCCTCAGTATAATGCACTAACTGCTTCAGTATAATGATGGTACAGGTATATACTTGTAACTTAAACTGGAGAGAATTGAAGAAACCCTTCCTCAAAGAGATTGCTTATAACTCCTCCAATTTTACTACCTTATTCATTTTGTGTCTAATCTTTAAAAAGACATTTATCTAGCACCTCAGGTATATAGAAAGGGAGAAAAAAAGAACAATGTGAACACACACAGCCTAATTTAAACATTATAATAAACTTGTGATGGTTCCCATTTTGAAGATTAGAAAACTGAATCTCAGATACGTTAACTAATTTATTCTAGGTCATGAAGCCCTTACTGCCAGTAAGTTGCAGAACAAGGATTTGAAACCAGAATATTCTGGCTGCAAAGCCCAATCTTACCATTAGTATTCTTTCTTAACGAACCTGATGTGCACTATGAAAGACGTGTACATAGACGAGTGTAATCCCAGGTAAAATGTAAAAATTGCTGCTTCAAGAGAAGTGGATATAAAGAATTTTGAAGAAGGAATATGACTTCAAACTGGATTTTGACACCATGGTTAAACTGTAGATTTGTAAATTTAGGATTAGGAAGAGGGTGGTAGTCAGGAAAGTTTAACCATTCTAAGGAGTATTTGTACTAAAAAAAAAGAAAAATGGTTTGGTTTAGTATTATTTATGCATCAGGTAACATTCTGAAGAATGTAAAACATCTTTGTAAAATTTAAAAATAAGCATTCAATAGTTCCTCAGGTGGAAAAAAAATGAAGGAAAAGCCAGATTAGAGATCAATGATCTTTCAGAAAAGATTAGAGACAAGTTAGGAACAAATGATCATGATCTTTTTATTACTAAAAAGTACAAAATGTCTTTGTACCTTTCAAATCAAAACTAAGTTAGCATTAGTTCTAAGGGAAAGGCTATTTAATGATCTGTGTGTCAACTTTCTTATACTTGTTTTGCTTCTCTAAAGACTTCAGTGTTTCATCCCAGCATCATCAGCTCAGGCCTTTACCCTTCCAGAATGGAAGAATTCAGGCCCACACATTTTTCTGTGTGGGGGCTTTTCCAATGAGGCCTTTGATGTTCTCACAGTCTTGATATTTCTAGCTCTCCAGCTATTTCCATTAGAGAATGGGTCAGTATATGGCTACATTGATGGGACCCTGTAGAAAATTGAGTTCCTATGCCCCTGGCTTATTCCTATTATCACATAACAGGCACCGTTATGAAGGTGGCCTGGTAATTTCTTTCTTGAAATGCTTGGGGATAAAAGTACCATACACTGTGGCATACTTTCACTTTTTAACATGTCTGACACAATCAGCTGGCTTCTCTGGCTATAGTGGTGGTAAAGTCAGTAGGAGACTGTAGGCTACTGCATGTGTCACACCCCCTACTTCCCCTTTGAAAATAAAAATCTGTTCAATAGGAAGCTATTTTTATTGCGAAGCACGGTTTGTGACTCAGCCTCTTAGACTCAAGAGTAGCCCAAGTTCTTTTAAAAGGGAAGCCCTAGTCCCTGAAGCTGCCTACCAAAGAGATTGGTCAGTCAGTTGCACACATTTTACATCCATCAAAGCTGACTTTCAAGGACTCCACCTTCTGCAAGAATGTTTCCTTCCTGACCCTTTCTCATTGTTTTGTAAAACTTTAATTTAGACTGGTGCGTGATATCCATGTTAGTGTCTACAGGCCTCTTGGCTTTTCAAGATACAGTTATCTCCCTTTGAAATTAGGACATATTGAGGAATAACCTCCATACCACCCAGAGAGTATTCAGCTAAGAGCTCTGTGTTTCCCATGAAAACCTGAATTTCCTCAGGCATAGGTTGGTGCCCATTCTTTGTCTTTATCAGAACTGTCGTCCTCCATGTTGTGATAATACTGTAAATCGATCTGCAGATCACAGTTAAGTCTCATTCATATGTGCTTTTCTTCCATGTGGTCAATTTTAATGATGTTCATAATCTTTTGGGATGGAAGAATTATTTCCTTGGTACTTTTAGTTTTACAAAGTGTTTTCAAATTTATTATCTCATTGAGTCATATTTTACTGATAAGAAATTTGACGTTTGTACAAGTTAAGTAACTTGCCCAATATCACATTCTTAAGTTAGTGGTGAAGTTAGAGCAAAACCCCAGGACTTCCTGGCCCCTAATGATCATGTGTATTTCCGGTGTGAAGTAGTGATGCCAAATTCTAGGTGAAAGGCTGAATTAGACTGTGCCTGATATTCCATCTCACTTCACTCTATCAATGATAAGTCAGGCAAGGCATCATCCACCTTCACCTAACCAATACCTTGTCTGAGCAGTTTTAGGATTTCTAAGAAGTTAGAGCAACTGAATTCACACAGCTACAGAAGCTAGGTTTTACTCATTTTTTTTTTTTCATCTCTTTCTGGGATCTTTAAAAGCAATAGAGCACTTGATGTTTCCTAACACTTCTCCTGTATCTGAAGTAAGAAAATGATTGCATCTACTGTGTATTTAAGTTGCATTGTACTTTTAGGAGTATAGTGTTCTAAGGCTGACATGGCGGTATCACACTAGGCAGTTGTCTGCATTTGGCAACCTAGAGACCCTTCACTGCCTAAATGTAATGAGAATGGGAGTATCTTCAAAACCCTAGGAACTTTACTATTTGTGTAAAGAGAAGACCCATGTCAAGTTACACAGCAGTTACCAGAAGTAGAATGGGTCTACTCTGATGGTAATAGCAATAGATTTGCAAGGCACTTCAAGTTTATAAAGCACTTTCATATCCATTTATCTCCTCTTATGGCAAAATAGGTAAAGAAACATTTTCTGGTTATATGTATTTCACTAAAAACTTTCTTTGTACTTTAAGAATTAAGCTTGCAACTTACAGATAAATATTAGCTTTCTCCTCTGCTAAGTGCTTTCATTAAAATCTTATCAAAATAAAATTATTTACGTTTATCTTCATCTAATTACTTTTCCTAACTTTGTTTTTAAGTTCTCTGTTAACCATTTGTTCTTCCCTCTTCTACAGTAGCTTTGGATGTATCACGACAATCCATTCTTCCATCATTCATGTTAAAAGATAAACTGAGGTGTATTTAAAAATTTAAGAGTTTGAGCAAAAATCTATTTGAATTGGACAGTATCCCATTTAGCAGATAGAAGGGAGCTCTGAAGAGTTGTACAAAATGAAAGACTTTCATAGCAAGAGGGAGCAAGAACAAGGAAGTTATATACTATGCAAAAAAAAAAAAAAGTTGGTTATTAGAAGGCTACGTTCTTTTAGGGGATGGCATGGGTCTGTTAGGTGGATTATCTAGTACTGATCAGGCGATTCCTGATTGACTGGTTTAAGATTTCATTCCTGGGAGAATGGAAGCTGTAATTAAGTCTTGGTTTAGTGATATGGGGCTTAACATAAGTGACTTCATTTTGGGCCTATTGTCTTATTTTTAACACTAATAATAATTTTTAAATGCTATAGCCTGATTTTTTGTTTAAAAATACTACATTATTATCTAATTACAAAATAATACATCTTTATAGAAAATTTGGAAACTACAAAAAAGCTAAAAGAGAAAAAAGTGACTATCAACTCTAATCTTACCAGATAGAGGTAACTATTGTTATTACATACTGGTATAAGTCCATCTAGACTTTTTTTCCTGTGGTGTTTTTCATGCTTTTTTTCC